CCGAAGTGCGTTTACTGTTCGACAACAACAATCGACCAGTGTTGATTTAAGTCTTTCAACATCTTCAGTTGATGAGGGTGTTAGGCCTTCCGTTTGAGTGTAGAGACTTTCGAACTGAATTTGTGCATCCATTTTGTTAATTTTTACATGGCTATCACAAAATTTAGGGCCAAGCGATAAAACCTGTAGATCCACTTCACTAAGTATTACATCCGAAAAATTAAACACAAAACGATTTGGGTTCGGAGGAAATCTTGTTTCAGTTGCCTTGTTCTCTAAGCTCTGTACCAGCTTCAGGCGTTTCTTTTCTTTCCTATTACTCACAATTAAATCCACATAATCTAAAAATAGTTTCTTTAAATTTTATGGTAATTCGTTGACAGCATAAAACCTTTCTGTCACATTCTTCGATAACTCAGTAATACACGATTGAATTGAGTTAATTTGGTTACGTGCATGGCGTCTGAGTGTCTTATCATTAGGCCGGACTCTGCAACGGCGTAGAGATTTCCAATAAGATTTCGGGTACCGGTTTGTCTCAATACACTGGTGGATAAAGTCAACAGTAGTCTTTGATTCGCTGAGCCTTGCGTTATACTTTAAAATACTCGTTGAGTACTTTTAACGCAAAATGATGCTCAGAAGATTTCAATATAGCAAAAATAATCATTCAGACATCTATAAAATACAAAATAATCGAGCAAAGAATATTCTTTTCGATAAATTCCTCTTCTGGCTCTACAATTATATATATATATATGTTGTATAGTGTTTTAAAGTTCATGAAAAACAATTTCAGTAGGGAATAAAACTAACCATATATTGACTGGTTATTTGGAGGTAATCAATCTTTAAAAGGAACATTTTTTTAATTGAGAAATTACGTCAGTCTGAGAAGCACAGAAAACCAGTAAATACATAACAGCCATCATGTTTCCATTTTTCAGAAAATTATGAAAAAGACTTCTCTTACTTGTACTTAAACCCTCATTAAAATCTTTCATTGACCCCAAACAGTTTGCTTAAAAAATGCAGCAGAAGCGCTTGACATGCTTTCATTGTACTGCGCCATAATATGGTTTCCAGTTTGTTCTATCTGCCTTTTTTCAGACTATACTACTGCTGCTTTCAATTCTGTTTCATAGAACACTTTTTCTAAGCAAACTCACTTCAGTATATACTGAGTCCTGAATCACAAGGTAGATGTACTTTTATTTCTGGAGGGAGAAAATAACACATTTTCGTCGTTTACTGGAGCTAGTATGTCTCAAGGCGCCGTACTTCCTTCACTTCTGTTTTCTCTCTTTTTACTTGACTTACTGTTGTGGTGAGAGCTGGCTGCTAGCCAAATTGGTAGACAGTAATTTACGTCAATGTTTACGTCCCAAATATTGGTCATGTGAAAACAAGAACAAAGACTAACTCAACAACTAATCACAGCAGGCTTTGCGTAGGCGGATACAATTAGAAGATAAAGGATCCTACCTTGAAGAAACAGCGACAAAGAGATGAAAGATTAACTTTCAGTGAGAAACAACCAATCAGAAGACTGTGTCTACTGACATCAATCTATAATAATGCACATGAAAATCTATAAATATGTGTTGATTTCCTTAATAAACGATCTGTTGCCTGACCCTTGTCTTCTGTTGTTACACTGTATTCTCTTAAAATTAATTTAATCCAGTTTGCTGACTATCTGATGCTTTCTGTCCTAAGTATTAATTAGATTACTCTGAGGTGAATAGTTTCCTTTCTGAGTTTAGCCAGTGATTTTATTCATCACATGGCTTTAAACTAAATCTCTCTAAATTGCAGACCGTTGATTTTTGGTCTCAGATGTGAACAACACTTGCGTGGACTCCTTCAGTCCCGTGATTGTTTTTTATATCGATGGTAGTGTAGTTGGTACTACTTTCTCTTATACATAATCTTCGAGGGCGTCTCACAACTTGTTGATTTGTAATAAAAATCTTCCGCGTGATCTAATATGTTAGAGAGTTGAAACTTTCTGGCATAAGTCAACCTCTTCTCTTACATTTTATTATTTCATATATTCTACGCAATCTTCTTTATTGTTCCCCCTTATTCTTTCCTGTGCTTCTCAAAAAAGACTTTGTTATGTTACCGTGAAGGCTGTAAGCACCGTTAGTTGTGTCGCTATGATCCAACTAACTGATATTCTTGTGGACAGGCATTTTAATTCAAGCATGCAACTGTTTAAAGTCATCCTGTCGGATCCTTAACATCCCCTTTATTATTGGCTAATTTCTCCTTGTATCTCTTCAGGTGAAACCGGAAGAAATTTCATAAGGATTCATGATTGTATGACGGAATATCAAAGTTCAACCACACCATCTTTAGCATGAGTGTTGTCTGAAGGGATGAATGTCACAAAAAGAGCTTATCAACCTACTTTGTATTCTGTAAATAAACAGCAACTCATTACAAGCATTCTAATTATTATTATGTATATTATCCTTCTAATAAGTTGTTTCAGTCTTATTATTTCTACTATTCTAGTTGTTTATTTGTGAAAGGAGATGAGATGCTGCAATGTGTACAGTGCTGAAAATTCCATTCTGTACAAAAAATTACTGTCTGGAATAAAAGTGATCGCTATTAATTTTTTTTCAAGTTTGAAAACTTTTGCCTATGACTGTGAGATGCATTAAATTTGACGAGGATGTAGCTATTTAGTCAATGGGTTGGAATCCCAGTGCTTGCGTTTTCTATCATGTATCACTTAGTTTCATGGTTCAGTGTCACCGGTGAATAACACCTGCTGACGTATATGAAAATGTGAATTTCGCCGATTAAAAGTTTTCATTACACCTTCGGGAAGTCTACTTTGGAGATAGCTAGTCGGATATCGAATTTTAGGGCTTTGTGAAAAAAAGGTCAACTGATGGGTAGGTGGCCTTGGAAACCAGCGACAACTAGAAAATCATTAACAACCAAGGTGTATGAAACTTATACCAAAATTTTAAGCAATTCACCTCACTATATTCAACTTATCTGCTCCTGAACATTTTAAGGAAGCTAGAACATGCTCCAGAAGTTTGTACTAGATCCCTGAGACCCATTGTTAGGGTGTGCGGTGAATTAAGTACACGCTAAGTGGTTAAATAAAGCCAGAGTGTGGTTACATAGTTTGGAACTCTTTAAGACTATAAATCCATGACGTTTGTTAGACATCGAGTTTAGGATTGTCTAGCCGTTCGTTTGGAATGTAGTAAGTAGCTAGTGGTTTGCAACTTCCTATGGTTCCAATTTATAGCTAAATAATAACTACTTGACTTCATAAATTGTCTTAGACTATACTCCTTAAGAAAGTATGGATTCACACTGATAGTCTTAGATTAGAAGTAAGAGACTGTCTGTTTTCCCTTGATTTTCACTGGTTCTCATGCTGATATTCGTCCGTAACAAAAACACCATTTTAAATCACTTAGTATTCTTTGTGTATTTAGAGTCAGAATAATTTCCGCCTTAATAATAAACCCATATTATTATTTTTATTATTCTTGAAAGCCGGTAATGCTCAGGAAGGCTTTGTATGCTATGGAAGTCTATAGGCGGTTATTACTTCCCGGTTGATTTCCTCTTGAAGTATTTAAAACAAAAACGGAATTCATGTTGCATGACCGTACAGCCCCAAGGACAACCTCTTGATGCCGGTCACACACAGACACAACCTGTGTGAAGTGGGTTTTCCTGGAGTTGTGTTCTTATGAAGAAGTTACTGCCCACTGAGAAACCCCACAGAACTCCACAATCAAAATGTTCTCGTTTTGGAGCCGACTCCCTCTCCAAAGCGGAGAGATAGCTTCGTCTGAAGAAATCACCTAACTGTTGTTATACTCCTAATCACCAGCGATGCGAATTCACTCCCAAACTTCTAACACAGCACAGACGATTTTTACAATATTATACAAACTATCTTGAATACAATTTTAGATTTTCCCGTCGATTGATTGGAGCCTCATGGGAACATCATCACTCACTGCGGAATGCAGGCACATCCAGTGACGAGTCCCAAATAGGACGAAATGCGCATCCTGGATTCCACTGCTAGTCACCATCCACCAGTTATCTTGAATACATTTGTTCCAACAAGTCGAACCACTATGTCATGACAGAAGAGACCAGATAAAGAACTTACATCGAAGAAGACATTGCGAAATGGTCGCGCTTTGTCGTGAATTGGCAGAAGTTAGGATTCTTGGACTGGCCATTGCGATGAGTCCCAGTGGCTCAATGGTCTACGAGCTGGCTCGCCTTGCAACCATAAGGTCCTGGGTGAGAACCCTGGCGGAGGGTGCGTACTGATGAGGAGTCCCAAACTAGGCTGACGAAACAGCTGTCCAGTACTGATTTCAGCTAATGATGAAATCCTCCATGCAATCAAACACCAAAACTGCTTTCATTTCACGTTAATGACACACACAAATAGTATAGAATCATTTATATTTATTTCTATAGTCTAGAAAAATTAAACAAGACAGACCAAAAGAAGAAATGAAAAGAAAAAAACCAAAATGTTTGAGGGCAAGAACAGAAAGGAGGCAAAAGTTCAACGATGAATCCAATGATCCCGATCAACAAAACACAAAGATTTTATAGAATAGAAAAAAACGCAAAATAATACAATAATTTTGGTCACCGTGTTACTGTTTTCTTTCTGTTTAACTGTGTTTTACATTGACCGAAATGAAAATGTAGCGCGGTTTGCATCTTTTCTGGTTTGTTTGTTTATTTTCAATGGCTGCTGAAGGGAATAAAAGAGATGCAGGACATCTTTTGTCCTGAAGTACTCATCTCCATGTGTACATGTATGTATGCGTGTGTGTTTGTGTGTATTGGTGACTTGGAGAGAAAGACACACATGTCATGAAGAAGGTTATTATATAATAAAGTTAAGTAGAGAATAATAAGTTTGCCGTCCCCCCCTCTTCTTCCTCCCCTTCTTCGTGTTAAACATTCATATAATTCTTCGTCTATCGAATAAATTCATTAGAATTCATTAGAATATTATGAGAAGATGAAATAATCGAAGGAGAGCTCCGTTCATAATCGACATTATCGCTATTAACATTAGATAAATAGTCTTTTTCTAAAGATTTTGTGGCATTCTGTTCATTATTTTCATTAGTATTACTATTGTTTATTGTTGTTATATCAGAATGTGTACGTATATGTTTGTTTAAATGATCACTGCGTAGAAACCGCTTATGACACAATGGACAGATGAATCTTTTCTCACCAGTATGTGTACGTAAATGCCTTTGTAATTCGTCGGATCGAGTAAAACGTTTCCCGCATAATAACCAATTACATACAAATGGACGTTCACCAGTATGCCATCTTAAATGAGCTTTCAAGTGACTTGTTTTATTATACACTTTACCACAACCTGGTACATGACAATTATGCAGATTTTTACGTCTTAATTCAGCTGCCGTAGTTGGATTAGTTAAATTTAAATGTTCTAATTCTTGACAATTGGGACAGTCACAGGTTGGTCGACCAAGATATCGTTTAACTGTTAGGCTGTTATTGTTATTATTATTGTTATTCGATGATGCAGATGGCTTCCCACTGTCAACTGGATATTCACTGTTAAATGTAACCGTTGATGGTGATGACGATACTGGGGATGCTAGTGAGGTTGATGGTTCAAATGTTTGATGTTTAGGCATTTTTGACATTGACAGGCGATCTTCACTTTCCACATGACTGTCAGTAGTCATTAATGATGAACACCTGAATGAAGAATGATTGATTTCTGTGTAATTTGCAGACAGAAATGATTTATAAAGTGAAGTATAATCTGACTGAATAGGTGAGTTGCTATTAATACTACTATTATTATTGGTAGTTTTAGTAGTATTAGCATTAGTACAGATATTATCTTTATTAGGATCATTCTCAAGAATGCTCGAATTGTAGGCTGGATAACGGGCAACAGCGGCAGCCATTAAAATTGATTTGTACGGATCATTTGTGTTGAAGAAATGAGACATATTACTTGACCAGATATTATCATTACTATTACTATGATAATTAGTATTATTATTATTATTGTTACTATTACTCATAGGAATACCCGGAGATGAATCAAATGTTCTCATTGGATCTTGTTCAGTATGAGAATAACAGTATGGATCCATTGAATTCGGATATATACTCCTATGTGGTGTGGGCATGAAACACTGGGAGTCATTGTGTGGGAGGTTAGATATTGTAGTCTGATAGCTATTATCAATATTGCTACTATTATTATTATTATTGCTATTACTATGTACAGGTTGAATTTGTGAATTCTGATAGTATTGTAGCGTATCCCATGCAGTTTTTGATGTATCAGTATTAGCATCATTAGGAAATCTGTTATTGATCAAGGCTTGTATACCAGATAACCAATTCGATTCAGGTTGTTGATAGTGTTGATGAGGGCTATGCTCTGTGGTTATCTGGTCACTATTCAATGAATCAATCCCAACATGTTTATTGTTATTATGAGTGGTAATCACAGGATTAGAATATTGCGTCCATGGTGAATAGTTTTCATACACTTCTGTATGACAGTATTTATTTAAATTATGATCGAAATTACTGTCGTCTAAGTTAATATTTTGATGATAATTATGAAGATGATGGTGCCGGGAACTGTCACTGTCATCATTCTCACCAGTATTAGTGTGATCATTATTATTAAGGTTAACAGAATTCGATGTGGTTACAGTATTCCCACTACTACTTGAACATAAAATATTCTCTGTACTCTGTAAATGACTGGCATCATAATTTGACATGATTAAAGGATTATTATTATTGATGGTATTATTACTTACTAAATCACTAGTATCACCCATAATATTTTTATTATAATGTAATAAGAATTGTTGATAGTAAGCATTTGATGAGGGTAAATTACATACAGACTGAAAATGTGATTTCTCCTCCTTTTCTGATGATACTGATGATGAGGATGAGGACGAGGATGTTGATGATGAGATTAATGCTGGAGATGGTGATGAGGGATTCGAGGTCAGTTTTCGTTGACAGTTTAATTCATATAATGATAAATCTTTATATTCATCATTTGGTGCATATACTTGTGATTCATTCAACAATTGATATGAAATATTATCATAATTATTATTATTGCATACTGTTGATGAAACTGTTTGGTAAATATTTGTTGTTGTCAGTGGCGTTTTATTCAATTGTTCAATATTCAAGGGTTGTGTTAAATTTTCAATTGTTTTGCATGGAAGTGGAGGAGGAGGAGGAGGAGAGGATAAATGAACATTAAATTGATTGATTGTTTCTTTATTGTTATTCTCTGATGAAAGTAGTAACATTTGATCTTGTGATGTTAATAATGATAGGTTTGTTGGTGTATCATTTAAATAAGTGGACATTATTTATGAAAAGTTCTGTAAAAAATACATATAAAGAAACAGGGTAATTTTTAATAACATTTTATTTCACTACAAATAAGTATAGTCGAAAAAAAACTATTAGAAGTCAATGACTCTTACATTTTAACCTCAGTGTAACCATAGTAATATTGTTATTATTATTATTGAATATATTAGATGAGATTTTTTGATTTTCTCCATTAAACTGTTATGGTTTTGTACTACGACAAACTTGAAGATTTGAAAGAATTTTATCTTTCTAAAAGTATCTTGAATACCAGGTTGAACTCAGCTCTTAGAAAAAGTCTTTCATGTTGCAGGGTATGAAGGATTTGAATCTAGAACTTAATAAGTGAAAGTCGAAGGCTTAAGCCAATGAACTGTTCCTCCACAGTTTGAAATATTAGGGATTTATATTTCTCAAATAAATGAATTATTTTTTAAATTTTTTACGCTAAAGTTCATTATCGAATCATCGTTTCGCAGCTGGTTTAAATTTACGCTTAATCTATACAATGGTATAGGATTTAATTTAATTTAGATTTTCCCGCCGATTGATTGGACAGAAGTGCTCCTAGTGCCTATGCTTCGACGATGTCTGGTCGTGTAACTTGAAGTCAATTGGTCGATGATGATTAGCAGTGGAATCCAAGATGTACATTTCAACCCAATTGGGATTCGTCGGCTAGTGGATCTATCTGCATTCCCCCAGTGAGTGATGGTGTCCCCCAACGAGGCTCCAACCCAGTGCCCATCGTTTCAAACTCCAAAACTTTATCCACTAGACCACTTGGGCCATGAAGCATCCACACAAGGAGCCAGCGTGTCGACAGACACCAATCATTTCGGTCAAATCAATCGACGCGAAAATCTAAACTGACTTAGATAATTAATAAAACCTGTTGCTCAAGAGGTGGCTCTCGTGGCCCAAGTAGTCTAGTGGATAACGCTTTGGCGTTTGAAACTATGGGTACTGGGTTTGAACCTCAGTGCGGACACAATCACTCACTGGGGAATGCAGGTACATCCAGTGACGAGTCCCAAACAGGACGAAATGCGCGTTATCCTGGATTCTACCGCTAATCACCATCCACCAACTGACTTCACGTGGTAGAGTAGTTTAAATATGTATTATTTGAATCTTATGCAGTGAAACTCTGATTTTATCATTATTCTAACTTTTTTTTAAAGTTTACGCATAGAATTACTCATCTGAGCTGGAACATAACTATTATGTATAATATTATTCAGCAGATATTTATCAAGGACTAAGATCCTGTTTAAGTGTCAACAAAATTAATTTGATTGCCAATCAATAGTAGACACAGCGATTTTAATAATAATAGTAATAATGCTCGCTAGCGACTTGCTACAAGACGGAATTTGCTGGAATTCTAGTGAGAAGTCGTGACCAGTGATGTTCGTCCAGTCGTCAAGTGTTAGGATGGATTTTCCACCGATGACATTGGTTAGTGGTCTCACTAAACAAATCACGAATTGGTATTAGTTAGAATTCATGGACTGGCCAGTAAAGAGTCGGGTTCCAGTGGCTGAATGGTCTACGAGCTCGCTATCCTTGCAACCCGAAGGTCCTGGGTTCGAACTTTGGCGGTGGGTGCGTACTCCCTATGGTTCCCAAACTAGAATGAAACAGCTGCCTGGCAGTACTCCCTGTGGTTGGTTTTCAATGGTTTACTAACTGATTTCAATCCTTGGTCAAACTCGTAAAAATAATAATAATAGCTTTATTCCACACAATACTTCTTGATACAGTTTACCATTAATTTTTTTCCCTTCACGTTCCCCAGTGGTACATAGGGCTTCAAGCTAGTGGCTTGAAGTTTCTGTAGCAGAGTTTATTTTACAGGATGGGGTTCCTAGCCTCATGCCCAACCTTTCCTCTTCACCAGCATTAAATTTGGCTCAGCGAGGTAAAGGAGTGCGTCGGCCGGGGATCGAACCCCGGACCATGTGCATGGTCGGCGAGCATCCCAACCGCTACGCCACCGACGCCACCATTAATGGTGATTACTTATTGCTTTAAAATATGTTTCACACATTACGGTTGGGGAATTTATTGTACAAATGATTTATATGCATAAGAATGCAATACATGAAGGGAATAATTGAGTTCAACTCAACATTACTGATGAAAATTCCTTATTCCTCCCCCAAAAAGAAGAAAAACTGGACATTAATTACATACCTCCTGGTTTATAGATCCAAGAATAAGAATTTCAAATATGAATGGGATAAAATGACATATATCACTCACTCCAAGTGAAGGAGAGAGAGAGCATTGATGACTGTGAGTTAATTACTCATACTCAGAATGGGGAAATGAGTACATTTATGAAAAATATATTTTAAAAAGCACCTAAAAGTTAATAAACATGATAGTATTCCCTAATAGCTAGCAAAAGTGTATGAGAATTCCTCAAAGAAGTGTCACACAGGAAGGTGAAATCACTTCCTGCACCAAGAATTCATCTATGCAGTGATACAGAAATATTCAAGGAAGGCTTGGATTTATAAAAGAAAGTTCCTATAAATTAGTGAATTCATAGCAAGTAGTGCATTCTAAAATATGTCCATCAGTAGCTCCGAAAAGACACTGTGTTATCATGCTACTTCCATTCATTTTAAGTAGTTCATTATCACAATAAAACTGAAGAAACCCATTCCGTAAATTCAAACTAGGCGCCTTCAGATTATCAGCCCAGTTATATAACGATATAACAAAGATCATACTTTCCAAAGTAAGGATAAAACAGAAACATTTATGGAGAGAAGAATCAGCCTGTTATGTTCCCCTGTTATTTGTCGAAATTGTTGTTTTGCATTTCGCACAAAGTGATTATAGTTAATTGGGGTGCTCCATCTCTGTTAACATGTTGGCTCTTGAAACGGACATTTCGATGATTTCTCAAGGTTCATGTTGTGTTGTTTTGTTGACAGTTGCTAACAGTGACCTCCAGAATGTACTCATAAATTGAATTTCCTTTCGTGATTCTTGTAACCTATTGACGAAGTTGATGACACTCTAGTATCTGGAACGATGGGCCTTGAGTTCAAGTTTTTTGTTGAAATACCACCAATCATCGGGATACCAACCAAACCAAATCAAACAGTGAGCACCATATTCCCTATTGTCTCAGACAGTTTTACTAATAATTTATGGAGGGACATTGGTCACGGTAACTGATATTGAATCACAATATTGTGTCCTATAACAATCTTAAGAAATCACATAAAGTACCAGCAGAAGTACATCTTATACTAGTAACCAAAAAAAATCATGGAGATGCCTAACTAAATCATTCCCATTCAGTCGGTACTGAATGCGGAAGAACAAAGTAGATAACCTGTCTACAGAGGACAAATGGATTAAGACTACCCCGTTTTTATTTTTTTTAAACGAAGTACTATTTACTATAGTTGGTTTGTAAGGATTAGTTCGAAATGTTCGACCTCTGTTGACATATTGGCTCCTTGTGTCGATGCTTCAACTATATCTGAGGATCAATTTGAATCAGTTTTGTGGATGGTAACTAACAATGGAGTCCAAGATGCACATTTCATCCCATTTGGGATTCGTCACCTGGTGGATGCATCTGCATTCCCCCAGTAAGTGATGGTGTTCCTACCGAAGCTCGAACCCAACGCCCATCGTTTCAAACTGCAAAACTTTATCCACTAGACCATTTGGGCCATGAAGCATCCGCACGCGGAGCCGACGTGTCAACAGAGGCGAACACTTCGGTTCAATCAGTCAACAGCAAAATCAGTAGAGCCAGGGACATCCACAACAGATAATAAAAATTAATAATTTTAAACTATTGGTTTTGTAGAGACTTTGTTTGATTTGTTGGAGGATTTCATCGTGAGCTGACATCAGTTAGAGAACCACTAGAAAACCTGAGGGGAGTATTGTACAGCTGTTCCATCAGGATAGTTTGGGACTCTCCATCAGTACGCACCCACCGGGGTTCAAACCAAGGACCTTCTGGTTACAAGACGAGCTTGTAGACCATTAAACCACTGAGACCCGATCCATTGACCCATGAATTCTAACTTCTGGATCAGGTCTCAGTGACTTAATGGTCTACGAGCTAGCTCGCCTTGTAACCAGAAGCTCCTGGGCCAGAACCCTGATGAAATCCTCCATTCAAAAACGAATAACTTTAAACTACTAACCCAAATATCTTTACTCTTTTAGTTAAAAGTTCATGATTAACTGCTGATAAAATTAAAAAAATGGAACTTTTTCTTTAACACACTAATACATCAGCATAGGGGATTAATTGTGTTGATCTTCTTTCCAAGAAAAATACTTTTGTAAGTATTTGTATTTACACTGTGATTAATCATTCACAATTTTTTTTAAAACAAAGATGAGGAGTGTAAATTGAACACATTTCGTGACTACTCTACTTTATTTTTCTTTTCCTCTTTCTATCTAACAGATGTCAAAAATATCTTCATTTTCTAATCTAATTCCTCAGTAAATGATTTACGATGAATGCATCAATTCAGTTTCCCTACAATCTCATCTCATCAGCGTAAAGTTTTTTGTTTGTTTTTAATATAGGCATGTACAGTGGTTATAATTATACATGCAACAGATAGCAATTTTCAGAAAAAGGTTTATTGAAGCATAAAAATCTCTACTGAGTTTAACAACAACACCAGAGTAAAAAGAACATCAAATACGTCTGATTAGTCTGATTAGTGTTATGTCAGCAAAATTTTTTAGACTGTTCGTGTATTTTTGTGCATGCATGCGTGTGTGTGTGTGTGTGGATGTATTTGACTGCCGATTCCAGTGTACAAGTCATTAATATATAGACAAATATAGACACATTATATCACTATTTTTTAACATATATGATAAGGGGAATTAATTAAGAGTGGTGATATAACCTAGAGAGTGACTGAAAGCAATAGACAGAATACTTAGGTGGAGGTGTGGTCGAAAAGACTTTGGAACTTGGCTTTCA